GTCAGTGAGGAGCAGGCGAAGCTGCTTGTTCCTCCCAGTTAGAACATCTAGAACCTTCAGACTGCTCAGTGGTTGATTAGCTATCCTTACTGTCTCCTCTCTGTCCTCCCAGCCTGCTCCCTGCTCCTCCTTCTCCTGCTCCTCCTCAGTGTGTCTGCCTGCTGTCCTGGAAGCTCTCAGAGACTCTGTGGACCTCCAGAGGACCAGGAGCCAGAGACATCTACTCAGAGATGTTGGACGTCCCTCACAGCTGTCCTCTGAGCCAGGTATGTTGTGATCTCCTACCGCTGACCTCCAGTAGAACCTCCCTCAGTAGACCTCCTCTGTCTCCTCAGTACCAGGTGGACTCCTCCGTCCCTCAGCTCCTCAGCATCTCAGAGCTTCTCCAGTCCCTCAGGTCGTCCTGCTGGTCCTCGGTGTCCCTCAGCTCTCTGCTACCTTCAGGGGGATCCAGCCTCAGCAGCTCCCAGATCAACTCTGCTCTGTCCTGGTCCTGCAGGACTCTGACCTCTGACCCTCAGACTGGAGACGGTCTCAGGTAAACCCAGGAGGACTGGCTCTGAGCTGGAACGGTGTTAGTAGACCAGTTACAGATCCAGTTTACTGCCCTTTTTTTGTCCCGCCCCCTGCTGCTGGTCTCACCTTGTCGTCTCTTTAGGCCCCGCCCCCTGCTGCTGGTCTGATCTTGTCCCTCTAGGCTCCACTCACTGCTATTGGTCTGATCTTGTCGTCTCTTTAGGTCCCGCCCCCTGCTTCTGGTCTGATCTTGTCCCTCTAGGCTCCACTCACTGCTATTGGTCTCATCTTGTCGTCTCTTTAGGCCCCGCCCACTGCTGCTGGTGGGTGTCCTCCAGCTCCCCTCTCAGAGGTCAGAGTTCAGACAGACTCTGCAGCTCAGAGATGCTACATCAGCTGTGGGCTGTGTCGTCACGGAAACAGCAGAGGAGAAGGATGGAGGTCAGAGGGCGTCCTTCAACACAGCCTGGATCGGTAGGAACCATCAGCCAGCAGGTTCTAAGACTGAGTCTGTGGATTCTGTGAAGATATCAGATCCAGAACCAATGCTGGGTCTGGATCCAGTTACCCTGAGTTAATCTGACAGCAGCTGAGATCCTGGTTGGTCTGGGCTGAATATAGATTATAGATTTCCCTTCCTTCCCCAACCTCTGATCTGGCTGTGGTGTCACTGGGTCAGGAATATAGTTGGGAGGAAGAAATTTTAATGATTAATATCCAGAGTATCGGTAGAACATCTTTCTTCTATGACAGAGAGACAGACAGATACAGGCACAGGAAGGCTCTCACACTCAGCTAAATGCATGCTCACCAGCGCACACAAATGTACATTCACATGCATGCGCCTGTGCCCGCACTAACACACCTGTTCCTGCTACTACAGGCCCACCCGTTCCTTACCTTCTTCCATATGGCAGCATGTTGGGACCTCAGATGTCGCTTCAGATTCGCTGTGTTCTTTCCTGCCATGTTGAAGCTGCAGACTCTTTAGTGGCGTCCTTCCTCCGGTGTTCTCCTTCACGTTCTAAACAAAATGGCTCCATACATCCAGGCCTTGGTTAACAAAACACACGCCGGTATCCGCAATGACTGCGAAGTTGAGCTATGAGTATAAGCCCTCTGCTGCTACTGACTGAGCGGCGCGAGGCGCTGTGAGACAGGCGCCATGGGACAGGCGCCGTGTGGGACCCACAGGGCAACAACGCGTTATCTCCTATGAAGCTCAAGAAAAACTTACATCAACAATTACAAAGTCATTTATATTTCTTAATGTCCATTCATCAATGGATCGTAAATTTCGTCTGTCTTAGTCTCGTTGACGAAAATCATTTTTTATTTTTGTCATATTTTTATTTTCTGGAAACTATTTTTGTTTGTTTTCGTCTCGTCATCGTCATGAGAAAAAGGGACGTTGACGAAATATTATCGTCATCATCATGGTTGACGAAATTAACACTGGTCAGTATGAAC